TTAAGGTGTACCTCTTCGGGCTCTTGGATACCTTTTTCTCGTTATATGTGTGCGTGTTCTTTAGATCCTCAGATGGCTCTAGCGCTTTCGTGACCACGGGCTGAGAGTCTTTTGCTAGATTTTGGCATTTGGCAACTGACATACGGTTTAATGTGAAGACAACAACAACAACAACAATTGCGTAGAACAACAATATTGCGCAACAGCCAGCTGCTCTGGTGGCTTGCCAACCCTTGAAATCCCGTCTAGACCGTTCGAGGGCAACAGCACTACCATCAAGTAGTTGGGGCCCTGGAGGCTGCACCCTTCACGCGCTGTTGTATGAAGGTGCACCACAGAGTAACTGGGAGCTACACGTGCAACTCCAAATCGGGGCCAATCAGTGAGATGGGACCGTACAGCAGAAAACGACTGGGAGCAACGGGTATTGTGCATTTATCAAGTACGGCACGAAGGACGACCATGGACACATGAGAAGGATGGAGGTCATGTTCATGTGGGTTTGCACAGCAGCAGCGGCTGGATTCCCTGATGCGCGATCATGCGCCAGATGACGCTGCTAGATCACTCCACCGCAGTACCTTCCGCGACTCGTGCGGTTTGAAATACGATGCTGTTGATGCATTTTTGTTTAGACTACCAGTCGTTTAGTACAGTCAGTCTACCACCGTACCACGGGATGCACTCAACCTTGCAGCTCCGTACGATAACCTGGATCATCTCCCCCCCACACCGTCTTGAGTCATCAACCTGCAACTTTTGCTGTGATTATTGGATTGCGGTGCGCGAGAACCATTGCAGCCCCCAACAGCCGCAGTTCTGTCGGCGGCGCAAAGCGCAAACGGCTTCTTCTAGTCTCCAGGACTACGAGCTGAGGGCTGTACAGCAGTCAGCGTATTCTAAAATGTACGACACATGGTATGCATATCCGATGTGTCTGTAACCAAGAAAAATGCAAACCTGGGATAATTGAAGCTAGGCCTAGCCCGAGAGCAGCAACAGCGATCCTCATACTATCCACGGAGGCTCCCAAAACGATCGTCCTCAAGGCACACACGAGCTGGGCGAGTGGTGTGCTCTCTCTCCGTTTACCTCCATTTCTCCGTTACATGCGAGAAGGGCATCCCCGGTCTCCTTCAGCCGTTGCGAACCTTCTGAACACCCTCGTCTACGGTCCACAAGATAATTGCGCCGCGTTTGGTTTAGCGGGCTGCGCGGCCGTGACCGTGAACCACCCCTTTTCCTCGCCGGCGTGGAGAGAAAGGAGGTGCAGAGAGGGATCCAGCTGCTGGTAAATCACCACGTGTTTGTTCGCTGGGAGTCTGGGGCGGAGCTTGGAGAGGTCCAGTCGCTTTCGAAGCTGCTGACGGCGGCGGTTGACCACACCTGTTGGTTGCTCTGGCTGCCGCTGCTGCTGGAGGACGACACTGCGCGAGCTGGTTGAGCAGCTTGGGCAGCGAGGCAAAGGCAGGTGGGATGCGGCTTCACCGCTATCGCGCTGAGAGCAGGTGCTTGCCGACAGCGAGGGCTCTGAAGGCCTTTGGTGAGGGTGGGCCGTTAGACGTCGGAGTCGGCTGTTGGTATCACAGCAGCGCCGCATCACGTGGCTGGCGTGCTACGGGCTTTGCCCTTGTGCCTTCGACAACTACAGCATACATGTAGTGTGTATGTACGTTGCACGTCACACCCGGCCATTCGGATGGCAAGAGCAGGCTCAGCAACAGCTGAAGTGACCCGTGGAGATGTAAGTCCATAGAGATATTGGTCCCCATAGTTGGGACGTGCTCTCAATGGTCTTGTAGAGGCAGGAAGGCACAAGCAGCCGGCCAACATGTAAGCCAGCACATGCACACACGCTCGGCAGCCTGCGAGCTGAAGCACGGGCTGCGATAAGGGCGCGTGCCCGTATCATGCACGATTCGATATCGCTGACCTAAATAAAATGCCGTAACCCGGTGCTGCGATCCAGCAGCCACGCTGCGTCGTAATGTAAGGTGGTGCAGCAAATTTGCACACAACTTCCTACCTTATCAGACCACACGTGCTGTGGTGTCGGTGCGGTCTTCCATGTGTTGCCCAATCGTCGCCCCGGTCGTCTAGTGGTAACCTCCAAACCGCTAGTGGCACAGTAGTCGTGAGTTCGAATTCCCATTGGGTGAAAAACTTAAAACTTTGCGGGTGAAAGGGAAGAAAAAAAAGCTGAAAAGCTCTCGTGAGTACCAAACTCCGACGTTTGCACCGTCGACGAGGGAAAGGGACGGCTGGACCCTTCTCGCGATGAAGAACATCTTTCCAGCACGCACCGCAGGAGGAAGGTGGGGCACGAAAATATATGACAAGACAAAAGCCCCGGTGTTTACCCCCTCCTGTGTGACCCTGGATAGTTTTAGTTGCACCAAACAATAAACTGAAAAGTCTCACCACGAAAAATGAGGGTACTCTCGCCAGAATATATAGGATGAAAAAAAAACACGCACACACACACACAGCCATGATGCTGCCCTCTCACGGGGTCCCAGTTCATGGCAGATAGAAGTGTTTTGTGTTTTCAACCGCACTGAGACTGACGTCCTTTCATTGGTCAGCCGGTTAGCGTGGTCGATGCTAATAACAAAAACACTCACGGCGCTTGGTGTGTAGTTCGTGAACTGTTGATGCCCCGGCCTGGAACGCTGCTGTGTGGAAGGGACTCGGGGAAATAGGCACTAGCAGCAAAGTTTTCACCTGATGCTGCTTGGCAGACCCTGGCAACTTCTCAGCTACTGCCGCTGGCATGCGGATGTTACTTGTCGTTGTGTTCCTGCGTCTCTTGGAAACACCCGCGCCCCCGTCCGTTCGCCCCCCCCCCCCCCCCCC